AAATATACACATACATATATATAAATAAATATACACATACATATATATATGCATACACATAATGAGAATAAAATGTTTAGAAATAAAGGAGAATTTTTTTAAAGAATTTTAAAACTCGCCATACTTTTCACTTTGGCAGAATATCTATGCTAAAACACTAATAATTTAGCAAAAAGGTGGATTCGGTAACAGGAAAGTTAATAAATCGCTTTCACCAATTGGCTACTTGATGTAATTCAACTTAGAACCTATAAACTTCACTCTGCTCTTCAGGCACATGAAAGTACATCCCGTGCTTTCACCAATTGGCTACTTGATGTAATTCAACTTAGAACCTATAAACTTCACTCTGTTCTTCAGGCACATGAAAGTACTTCCTATGTTTTTCACCAATTGGTTACTGGATGTAATTCAACTTAGGACCTATAAACTTCACTAATAATACATCAACTGCATCTCAACTGCTATATCCACCTGGTGTCGAAATGTTTCACTAACACTGGAGCGCTTTCCTCAAGCAAGAATGGTTGAATACGATAGACACAACAATGGTAAAACACATTTATATCATCAAAGTGCTTTGAACAACAACCGTTTCGGTGTGAACTTGACTAAGTGTGATTTCTATCAGTTTAATTCAGTTTTAAGTCACTACATGTCAGAATCTTGGTAAGGAATTCTTAACAGAAACATAAACTTAAACACAAATGATTTAGATTAAGTTACTCGATGTGATATATCCATCTTTCCTTTTACTAAAAATTATTGAATTTTTTGGATAGTGTTTCCCGTAACGTAAAAGGTGATGAATAAAACTACAAAATAAACGATTAATCAGATTACTAAAGTATCCAAAAAATATATAATTACGTTGTCCATTAGACTCCATCCTCGACGCGGTGTTGACTGTATCACCAAACAAACAGTACCTGGGCATCTTAAGTCCCACAACTCCGGCTGCACACGGACCTGGAGACAAATTTAAAGTAAATTCTCAAACAATTGACATCTGAATAATAATTTGAAAATTTCCATCGCGAATACAAAGATCCTAATTGAAAAACCTTTAATTTAATTATATCTAACCATTTTAAATATTACCTTATTATTACTAGCCGAGAAACAGTGTAATTGAATAATCAAAGAGTGCCTTGAGACGAATCTTTCTGACTGCACGTGAAAGTTAAGTAAAACTGGAAATTTATTAAATGGAACTATAAGCTATTTTCAACAATATTAACAGGTTGTTTATTTGAATTTTGCACAAATCTACACGAGGGCTATCTACGCTAGCCGTCCCTAATTTAGCAGCGAAAGACTAGAGGGAAGGCAGCTAGTCATCACCACTCTTGGGCTACTCTTCTACCAACGAATAGTGGGATTGACCATCATGTTATAACACTCCCACGGCTGAAAGGACGAGCATATTTGGTGGGACGGGGATTCGAATCCGCGACCCTTAAAGTGCGAGTCAAGCACCTCTAACCACCTGGCCATGCCAGGCCATATTAAAGAGAAGGCAGCTAGTCAACAGTATCCATCGCTAACTCTTGTCTGACCGATTAGTGTTTCGAACTATGTAAGTTGATCTTGTCAAGGTTGCTAGTCCCGACATCGATATTTATACATATTGGGTTCAACACCAAAACCTGTGTTTTACACTTCTATTCCAAGAACACGCTACAAACGTAATGATGTAATATTTGTTTGTTTTGAATTTCGCGCAAAGCTACACAAGGGCTATCTGTGCTAGCCGTCCCTAATTTAGCAGTGAAAGACTAGAGAAAAGGCAGCTAGTCATCGCCACCCACCGCCAACTCTTGGGCTACTCTTTTACCAAGGAATAGTGGGATTGACCGTAACATTATAACGCCCCAACGGCTGAATGGGCGAGCATGTTTGGTGTGACGAGGATTCGAACCCGCGACCTGCAGATTGCGAGTCGAGTGACCTAACCACCTGGCCATGCCCGGCCACAAACATAATGTAAATGTAGAACACATAGTTCAAGATGTCTTCTCTGTATATTCAAGATATTGGTGAAATACTCTATGAAATATATAGTGTTAATGCATACGGTTCTGTGCTTTTCAGTTACACCTCGGTTCTTTTAGGGAATTACAGCTACGATTTTCCTGACTAAATGCACTTGTTTGGATGTTGAATTCTAGAATTTTCTTGAGGCGCTACACTTAAAAAATAAAAATTTCTTAAAATCAAGTGTTCCAATTAGGCGGGAAAAGCCTCCAATTTTTACCAAGTGAAATATCCAAACGGATCAGTTAAACCATAAAGACGCAAACGTGATACACTTGATATAATTTTAGAAAAAATAAAAAATATCAAATGGCACCCTACCGGAATGAATACCAATACGAAGTTTTAGTTGATCGTCTGGTCTGTGGCGAATCTTGAAAGTCTTCACTGCATTAAGTAAGGCTAGCGACATCCGGGCAATCTCTTTGGCGTGAATATTTCCATTCTTCATCGGCAGTCCGGAAACAACCATGTAAGCGTCACCTATGGTTTCCACCTTATCCAAATATCACTTTAAATTACATTGCGGTCGAAATTAACATGTGTTAGTCCTACGCTAAAGCATAACACTAATACTAGCTGAGTGCCTGACATATTTCTTCTAATTGTGTTTTTTTTAAATAGTTATATTATAGTAACAATATGTGTAAAAAAAAAGTTTATCTTTTTTATTGTAATACACGAAAACAGCATTTTTTATGTTGTTTGTTTTTGAATTTCGCGCAAGGCTACACGAGAGCTATCTGCGCTAGCCGTCCCTAATTTAGCAGTGAAGACTAGAGGGAAGGCAGCTAGTCATCACCACCCACCGCCAACTCTTGGGCTACTCTTTTACCAACGAATAGTGGGATTGACCGTCACATTATAACGCCCCTACTGCTGAAAGGGCGAGCATGTTTGGTGCGACGGGGATTCGAATCCGCGACCATGCCGGTCCCGCATTTTTTATGTATTTGGTCATTTCCTGTAAGTGGTCCTTGATTGGAATTTGGGATTATGTTTATTTTTATGTAATGTTCCAATCTGCTTCTTGAAAACCTTATATGCGAGCGTTCCAGTGGCACAGCGGTATGTCTGTGGATTTGTAACGCTAGAAACCGGGATTCGATACCCGTGGTGAGTAGAGCACAGATAGCCCATTGTGTAGCTTTGCGCTTAACTACAACCAAACAAAAAACCGAACCATGTGAAAAACAAATGTTTATTAATGAAATGTTCTGCATGGTCAAATGTCAGACCCTGCCATTTATCAAATGTCATGGTAAAGGCAAATAATTTGAAGATGAAGTAAAGACGCACGAAGGTATACCCTTTAATAAATAAATTAAATAATAGGCCTCTTTCTAGCCAGTGGGGGTTTTGGTTTGTTTTTTGTTTTTTTGTTAAGTTTACGCGCAA